TCCAAACAACACGCGATCAACAGGCGAATCAAAGGAAATGACAAGGCATATATATATATATATATATTCATAGTTTGACCTTGAAGATGCCGGAAGTTCGCTAGCAAGCAAAAATGCGGAGTTTTTTGGGGGATATTGATATCCCCAACACATTAATCCCCCGTGACTTAAAGCCACTCGGTATACGAAGCGTACGTGCTGGATACTTGGACCATCATTTGGCCTTAGCGGTTTTTGGAGACACAAAGCTCTATTATCTGAGTCAGTTTTTGTACCCAACTGCTACCCTCTAAATCTATCTGGTTCTACGGTTGTGATCAATGACCTCGCTGCCTAATAAGACAAGTCAATACTGGGACACAGGATTTATTTTTCCCCACATCAGCATGCTTTTCGTAGAAGAACACGCTCGATGAATTTTTTGGTTTAATATATTGATGCTCTCAAGAAAAAAATTCTATGGTCCGTTCCGACACTATCTGTTTTCCCCATCGTTTTCATATTCTCTTGGTGCCAGTATGCAAGGTCACGTCAGCGAATCTTTAAAATGAAAGGCTGGTAATTAGCCGAGTAACGAGTGGACAAAGCGGTCATACGTATGAAGCCAAGATAATTGCCTGTACCACATGCTTTCACTATGCACAGGCGGGAAGTGTTTTTCTCTAATGAATTGCAAGTCTGAAAGCATGAATGTGCTAAAACTTCACTTTTTCGCCTCGACGATGGCTTTAATGCTCACTGACAAGATTATTCTGAACTGGAAAATGCATGACTTACGGAGGTTTCACAATGTTCGTTACTTTAAGACGCCAGTTGCAAGTCACAAGATGGTCTTGGCCCTCTCATCGATTTTCTTACTCGTCCAATGAAAAAAAACGCGCGCAGTACTCTTCCTTTCCGCACAATAGCTTGTATTCCCACTTGTCATCCAGTCGATAAGTGACCCTAGCGGATCTGATGAGTCGGTTACAGGTTGAGCGACTGTTCCCTCAATTTCTTCCTTTTTCAGTGGACGCTGCAAGTCTAGAGTGTGCAGGGCACGCTAAGGTCAACCTTATGTAAGGTGGTATCCGTTTGATTCACCATGTTTGCCTGTTCCTTTACCCTGGAAGCCTCATAGGGGTATTGGGGCGCTCGATTTGATCCGAAAGCTAGTGACTAATGTACGTTTGGGCTTCTGGTTCGGTTACCAAATATTTGTAACTTCTATTCGTGAAGGGTGTTATCCCTGGAAATCACTTACTCGTGGTTCCCACGAATTACCCCGCGTTTCACTCTTTTTCGTATAGTCAATCGCAGCCGGGAGTCACGGCGGTCCAGTGCATCGATCTGGACGGTCTTTGTCTTGCCTCGAAGGGTCCAACAAATGAACTGTCCTGTGGTCTGCTGAGCAGTGTGTACAAACATGCACAAAGTGTCGAGGATGTGGATGACTTTCCTGTTGTGGTTATCGAACAAGATTCTAGGTAAGTCTCTGTGTCAAGCCGTTTGGCATGCCTTTCTAGTTCAGTTCTGCTTTGCAGATTCGATGAAGTTCTGACTGTGATCCACAAATCAAAGGCGTAACGAAAGCACCACTTACATGGGTGACTCTTGGTACTGTACATAGTTGTATTGAGAAATAAACAGATTTCCGTGTTTTTCACATCCCTGTTATAATGGGTTGGTAGATTTTCTGTTTTCTATTGGTTGTCGTGAACGTGATTTGGACCTGTGGATGGCGTGTACGCGATAGCCTAGCTACAAATAGAACATCCGATAGTAATCAATCACTAGTATGATGAAATTGACCTGTGCCTGCATTCTGACCACTGGGCAGAGTAGTATTTGCAAAAGTGATATGGGGTTTCTATCACCAGACCAACTTCAAAACTACCCTGCGATCCGTTTATGCTCACAACAAGGAGTTGCGCTGATTGAGGAGATTGAGTCACTTTAGATGATGGCTTCATCTCCTAACGACTTCGAACTTCGAATTGCAGCTGAACCTTGTACCTGTTCTGGTGATCGTTGATGTGACCTTGGAATCGATTTCACTGACAGAAGATGGAAGTCGCTTAACTGCTCCACAGTTCGATCAGACAGGTGCTCGTTTTTACTCGCGTTTCAAGTCCCCTGTCTATGATGTCCGAATAGTTTTCACCCTGACTGCAGGTGAGTTGAGATGTGCATTGGCCTGTTGGTGGAATTGAGTGTGGTGTTTTGAGAGTTCCTTGTATGAGCAACAATTCGTGGTTGGACGACATTAAAGGTGCGTCCTAAGGCCATTTAATGTCCTTCTTGAGGAGCCAAATACGCTTCCATTGGTATATGGTACTCCAGGACCGACAGACTTCGTTTGTGCTGAATGAGACGAAAGCCCGTAAATTGAAGATGCTGTCACGTCTATGGAGGCTTTAGACACAATGGTCGGAGATCGAATGATCCGAACTGCTTGCAGTGAAACTTCTCTAGGACAGTATTTGACCGCT